GTGTCTCTTTATGTCTCTTTGTGTCTCTTTGTGGTGGTTTTGTGTCCACAGCGACCTGAGCTGGTCTGCGAGCCTCTTTAAGCGTGTGTGTCACTGTGTTGTGTAGCTGCAGGTGTGGCCGATCACCTGCTGACCTGAGCTGTGTTTGTCGTGACTCCACCAGCTGAAGCTCTGCATGTATTAATGTCGCTAACAGGCCTCATGAATTTCATCGTTTCCCTCAGAGCTGCAGAACAAACTTCTCCATTGGACCTCCTGAGTCCATGGAACCTGCAGCAGAACCCGTCCTGGTCATCCACTGACTGGCTGCCAATTAATTCCCTGTCAATCAGCTCATTGATTAATTGGTTTAATTAGCTCGGCTGCGCCTGGAGGAACAAACCCCGTCTGCACGGTTTAATTCTCTTTAATGTCCACTTCAGGGTTTCTCAGGAAAACACAGAATTTCTCTCAACTCAAACGTTTATTCTCCAGTTTTCAAACATCTGCAGCAGCTGAGAGACACAAAACGACATTTGAGCCTTTTCAGATGTTCCCTGACCGACAGCCTCCATTGTTGCTGCATCCACTCTGGACCAGTGTCAGGCTGGTTTAGAACTGGTTTTACATTAGAACTGGTTCTCCCAAAACCAGCCAGCAACAAGTCTGACAACAACCTCAAACACTAGTTCAACGCTGAGACCAGAACCAGGCCAGAACCTGTCTGAACACCAGTCCAAATACACTGGCCAAAGTTAGTCTAAAACCAGTAAAACCAGTCCGACACCAGCTGAGTGGAGTTTGTGGCAGTAAAAGCAGAAACAATAGAATTAATTCACAAGGCTCTGTACTGTTGGCGTCATGACGGAACATGTTCTGTTATTTCTGATCATTTTAAAGTCAAAGTTCTTTAAATTCACAGAATCAGAGGAAACGTTCTGGCAGCTCATCACAGATTCAGGCTACAGACCATCAGGCACAGACTTCCTCTTCATCTCTGGTTTCACTGTTTGATGTGGATCATGTTGAACCTGCAGCCACAGCACGATGGTGGACCTTGTGGTGCTGAACTTCAGAGACCTAACCAGCGTTCCACCAACATGAACTGGGTGATTCTGCTGGTTCTGATTCTGCTCAGCTGGAACCTGTCTTCCTGCTTGATGGAGCCTCGTCATCGCGTCTCGGTTTCCTTCTGTTCAAACAGCAGCTTCACTGGAGTTCCCTCTGGTTCATTCACAACCTCATCCACCACAGAACCACAGAACCACAGAACCACAGAACCAGGACACAGACTGGTCCTCCAACAGATGTCTGCTGCTAAACTGATGAGTGAGTATTCGTTTCATGTCGAAGCTGTTCCACGTTTTAGCCCAAAACCGGGTTTAAAGCATGTCTACAACACGTCCAATACGCATCCACAAACCAGCCGACAGTCGTCTGTAAAACCAGTCTGAAACCAGTCTGAAACCAGTCCAGAGCCACGTGTAGAACTGACCCAATACCAAGTTAGTCAAGTCCAAATTTAGTCCAAAACTGTGTGATGTGTAAAATCATTCTAAAACAAACCCAGGTCAGAAAACCAGTCCAGAACCAGTCCAGAACCAGTCCAAAGTCAGAAGTGAAACCGCTCAGACACCAGGTGCCCCATGATGGAGTCGGTCTGGATCCCATTCAGAGACAGAACACAGAAGAACTGTGGTGAGTTCTACAGGATGCTACCAAACCAGTTTGAATCCGGCCCAAAGATCTCCAGTTTACTGTCACAGAGGAGGACGGAACCAGGAAACATCCACACTGACCTCGTTTTCTGCTCCTTCACTGAGGTTCATGTTCTCACATGAAGTTCTGCAGCTCTGAGGAACCAGAACCACATGAAGGAGGAGACAGAACTCAGAGACGCCTTCGTCAGCAGAACCATGGAGACCAGACAGAAGGAATGTTTCTGTGATGATTTATTTGATATAAACGTGTTTCTCGGCGCCCACATCATGCAGATATTGAATATTTACAGTTTTAACTGGTTTCTGTTCCCGTCTCCGTGGAAACTCTGAGTTCTGGTTTCACGTTTGTGACAAACTGTTTGTTTTTGGCCATTTTTGAACAACTCTCGTAGAACAAAGTGATTTTGATGAACTATGACAACTTGACTTGGTTTGTTTTCCTGATGGACGACACACGATACATTCAAGGACCATCGCAAAGTTGAAGATCCAACGATCCGTCTGATTTTATAGTTTCTGGCTAATAACGTTCCATGATGCTTCTCAACAACCTTCTCCCAGAGTTCCTGGACGGTTCTTCTGTCTTCATGGTGTAGTTCTATCCAGGAGTTCTGACCCACCAGGGACCAGACCTTCCAGATACACCAGTCTCTAAGCTACAGTCACTGAGACACATTCACTGACCTCTCATGATGCGTTTACTGGCTGTGGGACTTCTGGCTGAGTCACATGAGAGTCGCTCTGAGGAGGTGAATCCAGACGAATCACATGTTTCAGGTCTGTCCTGAACTGAGGTGACTTTGCAGACGTGTTCTCTCGCTGGCCGGTTTCCAGGACGGTGAGTCTCGTTCATCATCACTGAGGCTGAACAGACTCCACTTCCTGTCCAGGGATCAGATCTGTGGTTGGTTCTCACAGGCTCTCGCTCGTCCTTCTGGGTTCTGATCTGAGTCAGAGGTTCTGCCTGAGGCGAGTTCTGTCCACGTCCTCCGTCACCCTGAGGGAGGACGTCCGAGCCTCCCTGTCATCCACCGACTTGGCGGCGACAAACGTCACCAGCCTCAGCGGGAGCTTTCCCGCCTTCCTCAGGCGCCTGGTTTTGTTGCGGACGCTCACGAAGCAGAGCGTGTTGATGACGCCGTTGCTCATGGCGATGCACTCGATGATGTAGAAGGCCACCAGGGAGTTCCTGTCCCTGGAGATGAGGGTGGGGTAGAAGTCCCTCAGCAGAGCGAAGCTGTAGTACGGCGCCCAGCACAGGACGTAGGCCACCAGAACCAGGATCAGGACCACCACCGTCCGGCGCCGCCTCTGCAGCCGCTTCCGGATCTGCTCCGTCTGGAAACCCGGGACGTCCTTGAACCACAGCTCCCTGGAGATGTGGGCGTAGCAGACCGCCATGGTGCTGACGGGCGCCACGAACTCCAGAGCGAAGACGAGCAGGAAGTAGGAGCGGTAGTAGAGCTGCTGGTCCACGGGCCAGATCTGAGCACAGAACGTCTTGTGGCTGCGACCTTCTGGGTGAGGATACGTGGTCGCTGAGGCCATGTAGGCCGACGGGATGGAGACGAAGACGGGGACGATCCAGACCGCCAGGATCACACAGTACGCCGTCTGGTGCTTCATCCGAGGCCTCAGAGGGTAGATGATGGCCATGTACCTGCACACAGCAGAACCACCACCAGGTTAGTTCTACAGCAGAAGATCTGCTCTGAAGTCAGACTACAGACTACCAGCTCAGACAGATTCACTTCAGGCTCCACAGCAGGAACTGAACCAAAGGGAGTCCATCTCTGGTTCCTTCAGTCTTCATCTCTGCTGACAGACTCAGTCCTCCTCAGGAGGAGACCAGAGTCCACTAAGTTCTGCTCACATGTTCTGATGGAGGAGACCAGAGTCCACTAAGTTCTGCTCACATGTTCTGATGGAGGAGACCAGAGTCCACTAAGTTCTGCTCACATGTTCTGATGTTCAAAGGTGTAAATAAATCAAAAATCTGTATGTTTGTTAAAAAAAACCTGATTTTAAATCGATCCTCTACAATGTTTATAACATCTGATTGTTTTTTTAATTACTACCAATAATCGTTATGACTTTACAGACACTTGCTGCTATTTATTTGCTGCCTCTATAGAAAAATACATGCATGGTCAGAAAAGAAGAACATCAGGTTTTAAGCTTCTGTTTTGTTAAATGACAGAAAACATCTGATAACATCTCAAACCACATAAAATGATTCATTTACATGTTAAATGTAAACAATCACATTTAATTAATTCTGTGTATCTGCATTCATCACAAGGTCCAAACAGAACATGAGNTCTGTGTTAGATTGAAGCTGGTGTGTTTCTCCTTCAGGATGATCCCTCAGAAGAACCCAGCAGGTCTGAAGTCGGCGGTGAGTCCGACGTTCTCACGGTGGCGACAGGAAACAGAAACGTGTCGACACGGACGTCTGAAACCTGCGAACCTGAGACGGAGGACAAGAAGTCGAGAAGCGAACACTCGTCTGAAGAAGCTGCGTCTGTGGGGTTGAATGGCGGCTCGGCGTCCGTCCCGCCTCCGTCCAGACACAGAGTCCGGACGCCGTGTCCGTACGGGAAGGCCTGCTACAGGTACGTCTGGGACGCTTTGTTATTCCACCGGTGAAGCACAGAACCAGGTGTGACGGCTCCCGTTGCAGAACCGCACCGTTTACCGTCAGCTGCTCGGCCTTCACGCGGGCCTTGAACTCATCATCGGGGACCTGTGCTTTGGAAACGTCTCATTAGTGACTCGCTGAGAACTCGTGTTGCTTTCAGCCAGAATCAGTAAATAACCGCTCTGAGCTTCCCGTCGCTGCTGGAGGCAGTTTTCACCGATTACATGAAAACATGAAGCGGTTCAGTGTCAGACTTTATGGGACTGGTTTGGGTCTGGTTTCTGACTGGTTGGGTACGTAGACGGAACCTGGTCCTGGCTTTAGGCTGGACGTGGGCCCGGTGTGTTGGATCTGAACCCAGTCCGGCTGTACGCTGCTGTTCCACTGGTTTTATCTGGTATCTTATTTGACTTTGAACTGGTTTTGAGCTTGGATGAGAACAAGTCTTGGTTCTGGTTTTGGGCTGGACTTGGACCTGCTGGTTAGCTGCTTTGACACCAGATGTAGTTGTTTTGTTTATCTGGCTTTAGACCAGTTTTTAGGATGTTTTTACGTTTCTTCTCTCTGGTCTCCATGGTTCTGAGTCCTGCTGACAGAAGACATCTCTGAGTTCTCTGTCCTCCCTCATGTGGTTCTGGCTCCACAGAGCTGCAGGACTTTGTGTTGTTGGGGTTCAGAGGGTTGAGGTTCTGGCTGGAGGTTCTGCTTTGTGGCTCATTCTGCAGCGATGATTTGCTGAAGCAGCGTGAACATGAAGCTTCATGAGTTCTTCAGACTGGAGATGCATCCTGAAAGCACTAACTAAACCCGACCAGAACCTCTGAGGTTTAACTGCTGCAGAACTGACCCTGCAGATGAACTCTCATCACCTCCCTGTTTGGTTTCCAGGAAGAACCCGCTTCACTTCCAGGAGTGCAGTCACCCTGGAGACACCGACTACGAGGAGGAGGAGGAGGAGGATGAAGAGGAGGAGAACCGACCCGAGTGTCCCTACGGCACCGACTGCTACAGGTCAGACATCTTATAGCAGCACCTGATTCAGTACCACAAATC